AAATGGTCTGAGCATATGCGTTTGGTTCTAAGAAATGAGCTGTATACAATAGATTTTTTTAATTTAAAGGGATGACAGCTGTTAAAGTGCAGGAATTTATGTTGGTTTGTGGGTTTGTTGTATAGACTGGTAGAAAGTCTATGTTTGTTTAATTTTATCATAACGTCTAAGAAAGGGATGGATGTATGAGTGCTCCATGGTAAATTTAATTGTATCGTGGAAATTGTTGCAGAAAGTGAAAAAGGTTTTTAATTTTTCTGATCCATGAGTCCATAATAAGAAAATGTCATCAATATATCTAAAGTAATGTGATGGTTTATATTCCGAATTGTCTAGTATCTTCTTTTCTAGAATGTGCATAAAGATATTAGCATAACTAGGTGCCATTTTTGTGTGCCCATTGCTGTGCCACTAATCTGTAAATAGTGTTTGTTGTTGTATTTAAAATTATTATGTGTTAAGATGAACTTTATTAATTGGCATATATCTGTAATTTGGTAGTTAGGTAATTTTTTGTTACTAAGGAACTCATAGCAAGCTGATACTCCTTCAACATGTGGAATGTTCGTGTTAAGGGACGAAACATCCATCGTTACTAGGATTGTATCATGGTGGACTAAGTTAATGTTTTGTAATTTGCTGAGAAAGTCAGTAGTGTCTCTAATATAACTAGGTATGTCAGGCAAAAAAGGTTTTAGGATATTGTCTATGTACCCAGATATAAGTTCTGTGAGGGTGCCAATGCCTGATATTATGGGTCTACCAGGTGGCATGATTTTTAAGGGTTTTTGAAATTTCATAGATGTTCTCTTCATTATTTGATTGTGTAATTTGATGTGGGTCGGATGAAAAAGTGTTAGGGTGTTTTTCTGAAATGATTTTGGGGAGTTTATGTAGTTTTGGGATAGTGTAGAATGTTGCTGTTTTAGGGTTCTCAGGAATAAGATATTTTATGGTATTTTTTATGTTGTAGTTCAGCTTTAACAGCTGTCATCCCTTTAAATTAAAAAAATCTATTGTATACAGCTCATTTCTTAGAACCAAACGCATATGCTCAGACCATTTAGATTTTCTATACAATATTAATAACTTAACAAAACAATTCCTAAAATGCAAATACCCAATAAAAATAATAAAAGAAGCACTAAATATAACTATCCTGATAAATCGTAACACACTTCTCACATACAAGAAAAATAAAAACAACAATCGGATTCCCATGGTTTTTAACCACAATCAATATTCACACACTTATTCACAATTTAAAAATGATTACAAGAACCTCCAATAAGACAACAAGATCAAAAGACATTTTTCGATAAACCACCCATAAATGCAATGAAACAATCACCTAACTTATCAGCTATCCTCACCTCTACCAAATATCTAAACAATAGAAACCAAACAGGAAATTACAAATGTAACAAACCTCGTTGCTTAGTTTGCAAACATTTAGTAATAGCTAATACATTTTACGTACCCAACACCAATATCAGGATACAGCCACCTAACCTCACCTGTGATACCCATAACGTAATCTATTATTTATTCTGCAACTTATGTCCTAATAGTGGATATATTGGTGAGTCTGGAAACAATTTTAGATTTCGTTTTAATAACCATAAACAAACAATACGTCAAAACAACCCTTATTCCCCCATAGCTAAACACTACAATCAATCAGGACACACATTAGAAAACTGCAAATGTTTATTAACAGATTCCGATTTTACTTCCACATTCACACGCAGAAAAAAGAAACATATTGGATTTTAAAATTAAATACACATAAATTAGGGTTGAATAGGGACTTAGGTGTTTTAAATCTTTATAAATATTTCAATAGCTAAACAATTTCTTTAGATATAGTAAAAAATATTTTTAAAAATATTTATGATAATATATATATATAATATATATATATAATATATATATAATATATATATATATATATATATATATGTATATATATATATATATATATATATATATATATATATATATATATATATATATATATATATATATATATATATATATATATATATATATATATATATATATATATATATATATATATATATATATATATATATATATATATATATATATATATATATATATATATATATATATATATATATATATATATATATATATATATATATATATATATATATATATATATATATATATATATATATATATATATATATATATATATATATATATATATATATATATATATATATATATATATATATATATATATATAATTACTCTTTCGAATTGATCATGTTATTTTAAATGTAAGACAATATCCCAATAACTGCAAGCTGAAATCTTATAACAAGATAATATTTTGTTACAATATCTTCCTGCTTATTTTAAACGTCTTTCCAGTGATTAATCAGTTAAGTTTACACAATCTCGTGGTGGAGTAAAATATTTCTAATGAGAACAGGAAAAGATTAACAATGTTGTATCAATTTTCACACCTTAAAGTATTTCGACTTGGTATTTAGTCAGACATGTATTTATGATTTCTAAGAATATGTCCATGATATATTATATGCATATTTTAAATAATATTGTTAGAGAAATAAGTAATATATAACATCAGACACGTCTTGAAACAGCATTTCCTACCAGAGGAGAATGACATGACATCTCTCTGCTGTATACTGAATCCAGATAAAGTAATTTAATTTAAAGTTTTAGCTTTAATGCTAGAGGTAACCTTGATATATCATTCAGAGTTCTGATACAATCATTCCCTTTGAAGCTGTTTATTTAGCATCTGTTTGAACTTTTAACGTATTTAGAAAAGTTTGGCGATTGTAACAATAGATTAACTGTATACTTTTGCTCCGTTTCATATTATATACAACATATAAAGATATTTTTAAAAATATCAATTTCACTTACTCTTAAATAAATTATGATTATAAAATTATTAGTTATTACTCTTTACAATGTTGAGACTGTTGTCTTCATCTTTGGTGTCATATTCATAAGTTTTCGGCCGTTGTAAGCTCCGGCCTTCTTCAAGTAATTTGAAATTCGGACCAGACCATATATTTCGTCCGCTGCGGTAGATAGTTCCAGTTCCAGATATCTCAGTTCCAGTATCTGTCTATATTTCTGAGATGAAGTATTATGTACATTATTTACATTATTCGGGCTATTGTTCTCATCTTTGTCTCAATATCTATTACAACGTTTCGGCCGTTGTACGCTCCGGCCATCTTCAGTTGGTTGGAATGTCGAACTGAACCCTTTATTTCGCTCACTGGGGTAGACTATTATAGTTCCAGGTGCTATTATTAATGGATGTCAGTTATCAGTTATCTCCTGTTAATTTCCCTCTGAAAGTTCTCCACTGCTTTAGCCGCATATTGAACTGACACTCTTTGGATCCTGACACTGGATCTAACTAATGCTTTTATCCACAGTGTCATGTCTCCTTGAGGACACCTGTGTATGAATTTCTGCAATGGATAATTCTAGTTCCAGATATCTCAGTTTCAATGATTTTCATTTACTAACTCAACTCTCCAAGTTTTTGTCCACCTCTTCTCTGGCCAGGTATTGAACTTACAAATATTTGGGTCAAGTCACTTGATTGCTTCCACCAACGCTTTTATCCACTGGGTCATGAGTCACTGTGAACAATTCCAATCACGTGAGGAAGGTAAGAACGTACAACGGCCGATACGTCGTGAGTATGTTAAGAAAGGTGAGGACAATTGTCTGAACATTTTAAATAGTGTAAACAATTACAATATCACATCTGAGAAATGTAGACAGGTACAATTATTAGTTGTTAGCACGCGTATTGAATAATAAATGCCATTTATTATAAGAAAAGAAAATGGTATGTCAAGTGTAGAATATGGAAATATTATTCGTATCTTTATCAGAAAGAAATAAAAAAGAATCGTCATTTTATAAACATGGGCATATGACTTAGTTGTTGCATTTTCTAAATTCTAAACACTTTAACTTTTCAAACTTGTTTTTATTATCTTTTTTTTTTTAACCCTAACCATGTCGAAGTTCAAGTTGGCTTTGCAGAAGTTAATACATTTGGTATTTTAACGGGTGATGGAAACTTTAAGTTATATCCAAATGCGAAATGAAATAATTGTTTTCTCGCAAAAGAAAACGTATTAAGTAACGGGAATGCTCCACTGGAATAAAATAATGTTGGGATTTTATGTAATATGTAGAAAAATCTCTTTACAGATTAATAGTAGAGCTCTAGCAACAAGGATGTGATTCTATAGAAGGATGATGTGAATGCCTGAAAAGAGCATTGAAAGAGTTAGTAGTTTTATAGCAAAATGGAAACAAAAGGGCGCTCGTACATGTACTAATGAAGCGGTGATCAAAATAATAAGGAAATAGCGCTTAGAAAATTGGACAGTCAGAGGAAATCCTGAAATCAAACGAGTATAAAAGCGAGTAAATAGATAGCAGTGTTAAATAATAGTAGCATTTCTGGTCTAACTTCCTCATTTTGATTTTGAGATCAGATAAAGGAAATCAAAGGAAGTGGGTTATGATTGGCTAAAACTAGCATGGGGATGAGAGATAGAGAAAAGTATTTCAGGGAGTCGGTTTTTACACGTTGGACAATGTAGAGTGGGTGAATTTTGTGTCCGGAAACTGATCCCCAGTAGGGTTGGTTACCTAACCAACTGGACAATTAGAAATGTACACGGCGATTTGTTTATTAAAATAGCTAAGTTTAAAATTTTATTTGTGTTTTTCATATATGAACCCCAAAATCACTTCGTCCCTATTTAAAAATTTGATTATGTGAATTTTCTCCTGAAAACACAGGAAACAAGGTTCGTATAAGAATCTACAGGTTCTAGCTAATTTTAAGATTAATATGAGTGAAATTTCTTACTTAGCTAATTGATGTTACTGTCAGCATTCCGACTTCAGAGTTCTGTAGACGGAACTGTTCGTCCACTGTTGAGGGGTATCAGCAGTTAACACGCACACACACATCTATCTATCTATCTATCTATCTATCTATCTATCTATCTATCTATGTATGTATACATATTTATATGTGCCTGTATATATATATATATATATATATATATATATATATATATATATATAGATAGATAGATAGATAGAGAGAAGATAAATATAGATAGATAGATAGATAGATAGATATGCGAGAGAAATGGTGTATATTAAGCCATCTTTTAAATAGAACAGCACATTCTTTCAAATGTATATATTAAATATTACCTTTTGATTTTCTTTTTTTACTATTGTCTTCAATACTTATATTTCTACAGAAAGATTAACGATATTATTAACTTTTTATTCTCAGTAAAGCCAAATAAGCATTCACCTGTTATGAGAAAAAAAATGTAAGGAGCCTGGAAATTTAATAAGAGAGGCACAACAAATTATACCCTCAAGAATGAAGAATGAATGAAGGTTCGAACGAATATTTTCGAAAACCAAGAAGACGCTCGTTTTGGGGATACTGTCAAGTTTTATACAGGTTTCTTTTAGCGTAACATAAAAGGAAGCCATATAAAAGTAAATGTAGTACCTGTACAAATGCATTGGATACATGGAAATAGAACTTAATATTTTTTTCAACGCTCTAAAAGATGTCAAATTTCAATGTAACAAACAAAAATTCGGAATGGAAGATGGTAGGAAAATAGTTAGTAAATAGGTATATATATCAAGTGACGGGTCCGAAGAAGAACGTTTCTATTTTTTTTTTTTACAGCGAATGGGCAAATATTAACCAACAGTGGATTTGAAAAAACATTCCAAGTTGTTATTATTTTTTTTTGATCTGGAGAAACCCAAATGATATATATATATATATATATATATATATATATATATATATATATATGGAGAGAGAGAGAGAGATTACGCTATCATGAAGAATATATTTATTTTTTTTCATTCTAAACTACATTGCTGTATTTAGCATCTAAATAATCGCACATAAAAAGCAAAGGGTATTATCCTGTCTCTTTTAAATTCTATGTCAATTCAAAACCTTGGTTATCATGCCTTTCCAAAATCTTATTGTCTGTTATCTCTAAATTGGCACAATTGTTTGAGCAACATAATGAAGTTGTTTTCTGATTTATTCTTATCGATAGTGATATAAGATGAATCTGACTTGACTGGCACCATTCATAATTGTGTCTATATTTGTAATTTGTAACGAATCCTAATAAACATGAGGCAAATAATACAGAGAAAATAACATAAAGGAATTGTTCGAAAATACAGAACCATGTGAGATTGGCATCTACAAGAGAAAATAATTTCACGATCTATTTCTTTATGGTTTATACACAGAAATGTTCTAGAATTAATTTCTGAGTAAACAGCTTATTACAACTCATTTTTAAGCAACATGTTTTGAAAAATAGTGTTATATATTTTAAATTCCCAAAATTAATGCAATATTCAGTTAAAATCCTTCAATGATATTTTTTTTTTTATTTGATACAGTTATTTGTGGTTTTGTATCAACATTTCACATGGTACAAAAAAAAATGTTCTCACTATGACCTACAGGTTTATTTCGTCCGAAGCCATTTTTAATCATTGATCTGAGGAAATCTTTATACAAAGCTGACAGTTTCAAATTCTGGTGGAATATGCATGATATGCATATGAATGTCTCCATCTTACGTAACTATTTAAGAACACGAATCCTGTTTTTAGGCTATAATTATGGTTTTTGAAGCAATTAATGGTATTGTGGTAACTATACTTAATACAGACTATTTTATGTTCAATTCTAAACCCCCAAAATTAACATCATTTAAAATGTGAATATTTGAGTCCCTGGAAAAAAGAAATTAAACAGGCTTCATTTTGAACAATAAACGATTTTGTATTTGAATTAGGTCAAGATATCCAATGGGATGAATGTTTTATAAGAGATTTCACAAATCTTCACAAATGTTCAATATGCGCACCACGTGTGACACAACATACGTAGTATGTCTTGCGTACCATTCTCCAGTGCCTCAGTGATTCTCTGATTAAGTTCCTCTAGGCTTGCAGGAAATGGAGGGATATAGACTTGTCCTTTCACATAGACCCAGAGAAAAAATCACAAGGTGTCAAGTCAGGTGAACGTGGTGGCCATTTCAGCAGCCCATTGTCAATATCACTGCAATGCTCGATCTATCTCCCTGGTATATTCTCATTTTGAGAAGGCGGCACAGTCAACTCGGTTTAGTATTTACGCATTTTGTTAAAATTTGACTTTCTTTGAGCGGGTATTGACTAGGTTATCAGACTACAAAATAGTATCAATGTTTTGGGGACAGCCTGTATATTCAACATGATTAACGATATTGGTGGATGTACTTCTTCATGTTATACAAAACATAAATTTAAAAAAAAGATTATTTTTTTAAAGAAAGAAAGAAAGGCCTCGTGATTTGGATTTTTACATATAGAAAAAAGCAATCGAATTGGAATGAATTTGCTGAAAACAGAAGAGAGACAACTAAAATATATTATGTTTTTGCAACGATCCGTGATATTAAAAACTGATGTAAGGAGGGTAATATAAAAAAAATGAAGAGGAGGAAAAAGCAGACGACATATTTACAAGTATTTATGTATTTATTATCTCTCATTTTTTTTTCTCTCTCTCTCTCTATATATATATATATATATATATATATATATATATATATATATGAGAGAGAGAGAGAGAAAGATAGAGAGAGAGAGAGAGGGGGACAATACGAAAAATATTAAATAGCCGCAAAATACCGGAGGATCTAAATAGATCATTTGCCAAAGAAACTCTGTGTCAATAAATGCGTGAATTCTTCGCTGTCAGAACGATCCAAAAATTGCCCAAATACCTATACTTCTTGATTCCTGTTCACACGTTTTTTTTTTTAAATAAATAAAACAGGAACAAATTTAAAATGTTAGAAAAACGTTAATGATATTGAACTGCAATCTTCCTTGGAATTAAACTAATATGTGTACGAATCGAAGACGAAATAACGTTGTATTTTCCCTCCATGCGACTTAACCCTTCAGGACGTTGGCGATCTTGACTCTCAACAATACACTGCCCTTTGTATCTCTTATTAAGTTTTATATTTTTGTTATCCCCAGCAACCTCGTTCCGCTATCCATCTACTCAAGCTCATTAGGCAGGTTTTCCTCTATCCATTTTCTCTTCAAAGTGTCATGTAAATATCAAATTTACGAAGCTCGCTTTCTTTATTATGTGCCCTTGAAATTTCAACTGGGCTCTTTCTGAAGTTAAGTATATTTTGTTTGCATCTTCCCTAAAACTTCGTCGCTGCTCACATTTTCTCTCATTTAAGTTATCAGTATTCTTCGTTACAATTACGTTTCTGTTGCTTCAATTCTCTACTTCACCTGTGAAGAGATTCACTGCCAAATAGAAGGAGAGATATTTCGTAATAATTCAAATGAAATAAATTAATTACGTAGGAAAAATAGGAAGATATATATATATATATATATATATATATATATATATATATATATATATATATATAATTGTAATGTATAAGCGTAAATTCTGGTTTAATTTCACTCAATAAAATATTATTCTAGCGATATTTAAGGAAGTACCAGACAATGGAAGGTGGACTGAACTTTTAATATATTGCTCCATATCTTTTTTTTTATTTTAGATTGTTTACAGTTGGACTAATGACCCCATATTGTTAATATCTAAAATTTCCCGGTGTTGTTCGCCCCGGATATATCCAAGTTTTTGTCGATCATGGTAACCATCAGTGAATATAGAACAGAATCCTTTATTTTATCTACGAGTCTTCTATTCTGTCATCCATCTTTATATATATATCATGTACTTCTTTTGCGATTGTTCTGTTAATACGGGATATCGCGATACATGAACAGCCGAACCAGAACAATCTAAACCTGTAGAACTAACTGGAGGAAAATTCTCGATAGCATATACAGAAATATGCGGATATTATTGCCAATGTATGTAATAATAATAATAATAATAATAATAATAATAATAATAATAATAATATATATATATATATATATATATTAACGGATATATTGGCGGGAAATGTTTCGCAGATGAAATGCATTTGTTGACAGAATCAGAACCAATACTGAATGTTATACTAGAAAATACTGACGATTAAAGCAATATAAAGGGAATGATACCAACTGCAAAAAAAAATTATTGCATGATTTTTAGCAAAAGAAGTGAGCGCAACGATGTATAGTAAAAGAAAATTGTTATAGAATAGTTAGTAGTGAATTAACCCTTAACCTTTTTATTAGAATAACAATATTTTTGCCAGTTACAAGTCAAACTATTTAACCCAGACCTAAATCGAGGACGTGGATTCATAATTTTCTCGGGAATATTTGCTCATAAATAAATATAAAGGTACTGACTGGAGTTCGAACGCGGTTATCAGATTATTCATCTCGTTTCGCCATCCATTACTCCACCCGTACATCTATGTACCGATTAGAGCCTCTGAGATATAAGAATGTTTTGAGGATACTATTTATCAGAAACTGAAATATTTGAGTAATACAATGACTAAAATACGCTTGGAGAGTTTAATAACCATTGGACCCGGGGAAAGATGAAGTAACTTATTTTACACATTTCAGCAAATTGATGGTGAAAGACTTTTAAAAAAAATGTAAGAATTCGCCAGGGGCAATAAGAGTGAGAGCAGCAAATTAAATGAATTATTTGGAGAAATATGATCGCACACGTTCTGAAGGATCATGACAAAGGTAGCATGTTTTTTTTTTATAATTTGTCATGTCTATTTATACACATAACATTATCTTGTGTGATATTTTCGATTAAGGTTTCGTATTAATGAATACGAATAATTTAATATTTTTAATGCAAGTCAAATAATACATTCTAATTTTTACGTGTTTGTTTATACAATTGACTCTAATGAGTCATGCATAATACGTATTCTGATATTATACATATAATTTAATTTTGGGATACGCTATTCTAAAATATTTCTCGTGTA